GCCGCGCTGTGACGGAGCGGCCGCGCACACTGCGGCGCAGGCAGCGGCGCGGGCAGCCGCCGAGGGGCCCTGCGCGCCGGCGGGAGGCGAGCGCGGCCGCGGCCATGGAGGAGCCGGACGCGGAGCCGCCGCTCATGGTGCGGGCGGGCGCGGGAAGGGCGGGACCGGCCGGCGCGGCTCGGCTCGGGCGGTTCGGTTCGGTTCGGTTTGGGCCGGGTCGGTTCGGCTCGGCCGCGCTGCGGGCGCCTCTCAGGCAGCCGCCGTGCCCCGCAGGTGGTGCCGGGCGTGGACTCGGCCGCCAGGCAGCTCTGCTTCGAGTGGGGCCCCGCGGAGATGCTCGTGTGCGAGACGCTCTTCGGAGGCAGAGGTGGGTGCCGGCGCGCGCCGCCGCGGGCGAGCCCTGGGAAACCGCTGGGAACGGCTGGAGAATCACTGGGCAACCGGGGGAACCTTTGGGGAACCGCGGGGTGACTGTTGGGGAACCGTTGGGAAACTTGGTGAGCCACCGGGTGACCATTGGGTGACTGTTGGGGAACCGTTGAGTGACCATTGGGCAACCGTTGGGAAACTGCAGGGGAGCTGCTGGGTGACCGTTGGGTGACCGTTGCCAGCAGCCCCCGACTCCAAGGCGGTTCCTCGCAGGGGCTGGCGAGGGGCGGCCGAGCTCCTCCAGCGTCTTCGTGGTGCGCAAGGACCAGGACGTGTACGTGCAGACCTTGCGCAAGCTCTTCAACGAGTCGCACGGCATCTTCGTGGGCCTGCAGAGGAGCGAGGAGGAGCTGGCCGGCAAGTCAAGGAAGGCGCAGTGAGTGCCCCGCGTGTTCCCCGTGGCAGGAATAGCTGTCACTGCTGGGCTCGTCACCCCGGCGGGCCAGACGGCGACTGTGAACCAGCAGCTCTAACCTACAGCCACTCTGTACTTAGAGCTACTACTGATCAATAGTGCAATATAAGTGACAGTTTAGGACAGTTTAGTTTATTTTTTTAAACCCTGGCCTTTAGCCTCCACTGAACAAGCTCTTCTGCCATCTGTATGTCCATAGCAGCATGTTCAGCCTCACTGACTTGCTCGCTGACTTCGATTTACCCAAGTATGAGGAAGAACGTAACGCTTGCAAGACTTTTGGAGGCAAAAGCCAGAGACCTAAAACTCAAAGAGCTCTTTCTAAACATGGTCTTTCTTTTTTTCTTATGCTTGGCAGTTTGGTTCAAGTGAGTAAAAACTACCGCTCGGTCATAAGGGCCTGCATGGAGGACATGCACCAGGCGGCTGGTAAGTTTGCTTGGTTGCAAATGTAAGTTGCTACTGCTGTAAAAAAAAGTGTGCATGGATTTCAGTAATTATCAAGACTGCATTTCCATTCCTGAGATTTCCAATTTGGCATATAAATCTGAGAGTTTTTGTACCATGTTCTAACTGGGAGGGAATTGATTTTCATTTTTGTGGTTGCAGTTTTATGGGAAATAGACAAAAACTAGCAGCTTGCTGCCAAAAAAGAAAAAAAGGAGTTCTTTTCTCCTTCTATCCCTCCTTGCTCTGTAGACATATCAATTTAGTAAAAAATAGTAATAAGAGGAAAAAAAAAGGTTGCTTTGTCATGTATGTACTCATCTTGTCATGTATGTACTCATCTAAGTCAACGGCTAGTGAGTGATCAGGACTGCTTACCAGAAAGGGGTTGGGGAAGCAGGTAAGGCAGGTTGGGTTTTGACCTTCTTTATTTTTCCCTCAGTTTCAGCTCGGGACCCTGCCCTGCACAGCCAGTACAGTACTCAGGTAACCCGCAGTTCATGCCTGCATAGTCTCAACTGAACAAAACCATTTGCCTACCAAATTTGTCAAAGCCAACACTGTGGCAGGAGTGTGTTCCAGCTGCAGATCTGACTTAGTGTATTGGATATGGTGCACAATCAAGAATAAATGCATATAAGTCGTTAGCACCTTTGTTACTGTAACAGTAAAACAATGTCCAGCCTCTGGAAACACTGCTGGGTCTTAAATGTGTATTCAGTTTTACAGGTGTGATGTTTTCCTGTCATCTGAAAAATAAGTGTGGGCCAGTACTTACGTGGCCAGGACTTCACTTCTCAGATACTCAACTTCTTATCAATATTTGGACTTTGTAGCAAGCTCTAGAAGTTACAGAGAACTTTCAGGTGCTAGGGCAGTGTTAGTGGAAGAACAGTCCTCACGGAAGTATTGTCCTGTTAGTGACAGTGATGTTGCTTAATTGGTCTTTTCAGTCTCAAATGCATCTGGAAATTATTTTTGTAAAACAAAAATAAATGCTGTTTATAATGTTAAGTCTTAAGAGTGCAAAGAGCCTGAAAATAACAGTTGTGCACCATTTTTATCTCCTCATCATGACAGATTATTATTACTTTTGAATACACAAAGAGCTGTAATATTTTCTAAGTTAAATGTGTAGAGAAATTGTGGCCTAATTCTGTCTTTAGATCCCTAAACTGTCAGTAGAGTATTTCTTTTGTCTATAAGAGCCAAGCTTAACTGAGCAATTGCTATGGGCAGTAGATGTCTTTGTGCAGTTAAAAGCCAAACAAACCATATTACATATTGTAGTTGCTAAATCTGAAATGTGTTGCTGCTTTTTCAGGTTTCTATTCTTTCTGCGATGGAGCTGATCTGGAACTTGTGTGAGATTCTGTTTGTTGAAGCAGCTGTAGGTGAGCAGTGACATCCTGATGTTAAAATTAAAGGGCTTCTATTTGCCTTCTGTATTTCTCCCTCATATACTACACTGTGAACTGAGGTTTTTTTTTTTGCAGAAAGATAATGGAGTGCGTTAATATCGGTGTTTGCTGTCAATTTATTTTTAAGCATAAAAACAATTTTAAGCATCAACTGCTTAAGGTAACATATACACATTCTTTGGTCCAACTTTACCTTTAGGGTGCTGCCCTTGAATTCAGTTTGCTTATACCAGCATTTTAAACCAGGAACTGATCAGAGCAGGCAAACAAATGTGTTATCTGCTCAGTCCCAGATTTCAGAAGAGAGGTTCACTAATGTAATGTATTAATTTGAAGACAAGTTATTTATCTGGTGCCATTTTGCCTACCGCCTTATATCCAGTTCATGAAAGGATAGTAATGAAAAGAAATGAAGGAAAACACTGTATGTGCCTTTTGGCATTAGGAAGATCTGTGATCTGAGTCACTTACCTGTTATGTCCTAAAGTCAAGGTTGCTTAAATAGGTGCCCTTCAGCATCACGGAGGAAGCTGTGATAGCCTGAGTTTTCCTCTTCTGTCTAGAATTTGCCATGTGTAATTTTGTCACCCACCTGGCACTTCTGTAGCTAAAGATTAAAGATTTCTGTCCCTTTGTAATACAAGTATGCAGATGGAAAGCAGATTAATAAGCCTCGTCTAACAGTTGTCAAACTATTAAGGTTGAGATTGAGTAAAATAACAAGCAGCATAACTGGGAAGTAACAGAATGATATTTTCTCTGCATAAAGCTGGTCCCCTCCTGATTCGCCTACTTGACTGGGTTCGCCTTCACGTCTGTGATGTGAACAACATGGTCCGTGAAGTTCTGAGCAGTGAAAACCCATCAAAACATGAGCTCTTTTGGAATGTGGTGAGTCTACTCATGTGCAGGCTTCTTATATGAAGGGAAATAACCTTTTTCTTCTTAGCCTTTCTCTTCCACACTGGACAGTGATCCCCATCTCAAGTTTATATGTAAGATACTGCTACTATCTGATCATGTAGTTTTAAGATGAAAACATGGGGAAGATGCTGGTGCTCCTCATTTCTAACATGATCGTTTCATTTCAGATGAAATGAATTTCAGAGGCCAAAACTTCCTGTGTAGACTTGAATTAACAGAGCCTGAAGTTAATGCATTTTGACTTCACTTGACTAAACCATAAGTTCAAATTCCCTTCCTATGCTCCGCCAGGTATTTTGCAGCTTGCCCACCGCCCTGCTCTCACACAGGTGGTTTTTGCAGGTGGATGTCTTCGTGCTGCAAGGCCGAATGGATGAAGCGCGGCACTTGCTCTCTAAGGAAGCCAGCGCTAATCCCGCATCCCTGACCATGTGCAGAGTCTTGGATGACTTGATGAAGAAGATGCCTGTGCCCAGTGTACGTACAAAGCAGTTTTGTGTAGTTCTTAGAGAGGACACTGTTAGGCCAGTCTATTTCATCTCCACAGTGGTTCCTATAAAATCACAGCATGTTGACTGCTAAAGTATCTCAGTCACTGCTCCTGTCAGGAATAGTATTTGCATTCTTGAATTGTCCCAAAGACCCAACTAC